GTGATTTTGCGAACCCCACTCCACCACATCAACGGTCCGGACGACTCACTTAACCCTGAGACCCATATGGCTGCGCTTGCCGCGTTTCTGCCCTTTTCGGTAAAAGCCTCGCTTATGTGAAATTTTTAGTTGGCGATAACTGTGCAGTCAACAAGCGCCTCGCCAGACTTATGGAGGCCCTGCTGGTAGGCTGTGCCAGCCATCGGCTAAATTTGGCCGTTCGCAACTTCCTGGCTCCCTGCGAGGAGGAACTTGACCAAGTACAACTACTCATAAAGCACCTGCGCACGATCAAGCAAGCTGCAAAGCTACGGTACGTACTTCCTATTATTTTCGATATTTATATTTAATGGCAATAATTGACAATAACTATCTTCTTTTGTGTATGGTTCACGCCGACTGAAGACCTCTCTGAAGCCCAAGCTGCGCCAAGAAACACGATGGTGGTCTACATACTCGATGCTCGTGCGCTATTTCGAGCTGCGCGAGTTCCTCAGCGCTGACGACAAAGACATTGCTGACGTATTGCCTACCCCAGCAGTACACTGCAAGCTGAGGGTGCTCAAGGAGCAGCTATCGGACGTGGAGTCCGTATCAAAGAAGCTTCAGAGCGATGACCTCAACTTGCTGGATGCTCGCGCGAACCTACTTGATGGTTTGCTAGAGATCCAGCCGTCCTTTGCCAGTTACCTGGGTAAGTCATTTGCTTACTTTATTTATTTATTTACTTATTTATTTTATTCTTATTTTTTTTTACTGATGTAGAACCAAACGCTGGTATTGTACACTCGCCTGACTTTGAGTCGGGAGTGGTGAAAATACTGTAAGGTCAGGTCAAGCGGCTGTCCCGTGGTGAGCGCGCGGTACTTCAGCCTCTTAAGAAGCCATCTAAGCCTTCTGCCCCAGCGCCGGAGCCAACCAAGATGGGCTTTGCCGACAGGATTCTGAAGAGGCGCAGGACGCAAAGCACGTCATGCGAGTACGGGCTGCTGGACGTCATCCCGCCGACGTCCAACATTGTCGAGCGGCTGTTCAGCTCTGCTAGCATGATGCTACGGTATGAACGCAGCAGGCTATCTCCGTTTACGCTGGAGATGATACTTTTTCTGAGGGTCAACGATGCGTTCTGGGATGTGGCCAGCTACAACCAGGCTAGGTAGTTTATTTCGCTAATAATCTACGTTTGCAATGTCCCCGCTCCAATTATTTATTTGCTGAGTTCTTAGGTTGCCGCGCATTATGTATTTCTCGATGTCCTTTGATATAAATTATATTTTCGGGTTCCCTGGTCTGGGGTCCTTCCCTCCCTCTAAACCAACCTTGCTTAGCGAAGATGCAAACAGGATCCACTGGAATACGGAAGTCATTGCGCTGCTTTAGGTTGTTGTGGCTCGAGGGAGTTGATAGGTGTGGCTGTAGACTATCAGTATATGAAGGGAACGGTATGATGTTATTGACCAGAGTACTAACTCTCACTGTGGTTGATTGGCTAAAAATACTTCGGTTCCGCATTTACATATAGTACTTTATTTTTGGCTCATCAAGCTGAAGTTGTGCCTTTGTGTGGATCCGTCCATTTTGCTGTGGATTAATGTGGGTCGCCATGAATTTGATATGATTTTTTTTGATATTTTCATACGTCGTGTGGATTTCTTACGCTTTCTAAAACGCAAGGGACCTGACTATCCGTTCCGTCACTCCATTGTTGAGCTTTTTGACAATCCTGAGAATTGCCCAGTCTGTCGAATCTTTACACAGCACTTTTGCGATCAGTATCGACCGACCCTTCCGTTTTGGAAAGGTACTCCAAAATCTAATTTCGGGCACCTGCCGATCACCACGCCAGGAACATCTTAAATGTAATGAGAAAGTATTTTTATATTCTATATTAACTAAAATAAAATTAGTTTTTGAAATGGCGCAAAATCAAAGTTCTCTAAATAAAAATAGACCTATTTTTTTTCAAGTTCCCAAACAAGGGTTTCTTATAACGGCACGTTTTGCCCAGCTTATTTTTTTAAATCTATTGTTGCGTGAATAATCCATAACGAGTATTCACATACAATCTGTTTTTGCGGTTTCTAGCCAACTATAAATGATTCAACAGAGGTTACGAGGCCTCAGTGTGAGCCTAAGCATTCTGCTGTCTGGGGAGCAGCTCTCGGATTCAACTTGCACCGAAAGGCTTGCTAAAGAGTGGATATGCCAGCAAGGACTGTTCACGTGTTTTCTATAAATTTAAATAATGTGTAGAAAAGGCCATTAACAGTCAGTTTTTCACATTTTGTTTTGGCACTAAAACTCAGGTTTTCAAGTATCGAAAGGTCGTCCATTCTATAATACTAGGGGTTGTTATGGTTAGACGGTAGGTTTCAGCAGCCAATCAGATCAAACCTATCTGCCCCGTCGTTTTCAAGTCGAACCTTCCCCAGAATGCAGGAAGGTTTGGTTGAGACTTGCAGGTTTGCGCATGATTGGTTGAAAGTCACCTTAGAAGGTTTTATTAAACCACTTTCTTAATCACAGATATGTATTGTACATGTAGCGCGCGACGCTCGCCATCGTGGCGTCACACTGCAAGGAAAAAAAGCTACTACCTACTGCCACAGTAAAATAAATGATGCCTAAGGAAGTCGCTACCAACTGCCATGGTACCTGCATCGCTAAACTACTGGGGAAGTGACTGTATGTGCTCAAACATAACAATAATTTCTTGGCGGCCGCAGAATAACTTACACGGCTATAAGTAATCTGGTTTGGTGTCAGATTTGTGACCTCAACCTGGACTCCCACCAAATGCGCTGCATAGTTTTGAATGCAAATCTGCAGCTCGTAGTGAGTACATAGACCAGAAATGCAAGTGGAAAGTCAAAGTGCTGACGTGCCAAAAATCCGAAAAGAGCGGAATTTACAGTAACGGATCGTATCACACCGATAGGGCGTCCCCGAAGTAACCGAAGCTGACATTGAGTATGAAGCGGCTGGCGGTGCAGCTTACTGGACAACACGCAAAACCAAATCCAACTCGCCACAACGTTATGGACCGATTTGAGCCTGAGCCCGAAGCCAGACCTACACTATCTCAAGTCCAGAGCTTTCTTTCTCACCACAAGCGAGCTAAGCTGCGGGGAACGGACTTCGTCGAGGATATGGAGTGTCTAGCGGCGCGGTACAAGTTCAACGCATACATGAGTGACAGCGATCCTTTCTATTTGGCTTTGACGTAGAAGAGAACGGTGGACCTGTGTTTGGAGCTGGTTCGGATGACGACCCTCTCGTAGCTGGCGTGTCAACACTGTTTATGATGAAAACGCTCGCTTTCGCCGAAGATCATGTCCTGTACATCGACGTCACGCATAAGCTGAACTAGTCAGGATACCCAACCACGGCCGTAAGAATGAAGAAGCTTTCACCCTGTTGCGTTATTTGTAATATCTCAAGTCACTGGTCCGGTTATGAGTGTTGCGCTAACTCACCTGTTTGAGACTTTCGCGAAACTGACGGGGAACTCACCGACGTTTAGAAATTGCATGGCAGACACAGTAGCATCAGTGGTGGCTTCGAAAACAAGGGATCCGATCAAGATGATCTACCTCATGTGTTTTTTTACACGTTGTGAAAAACGCTAGAGAGCATGCGTCAGGAATGACTGGTAAGCAACTGTCTCTTCTCTTCCACCATTTGTACAAGATGCACTACGCTAGAAGCCAACAAGAATTTAAAACATATACAAAAGATGTTCTCAAGAAGTGGAAAGCTGTATTCGAACTTATCAAATTTGCTGACTATTTCAAGAAGAAGTGGCTGGACACCCCGTTTTCGAATTGGTCAATGTATTATACACCACCAGATTTTGCTTCAACGAACAATCCGGTTGAGACGTTCAATAAAACCATCAAGCAAGACTATCCGCTCGCTGGTCAAGCTCGTTGGTCTGATGGATAGTTTGAAGCTGATATGTCGTTACTGCATTCGAGATGGCCGATTGTCTAAGGAAATGTCAGTACCGAACCATGCGCTGCTGTCCCGCACGGAGAAATTACAGGAAAACAACGCTGCCTGGAAAGTGCAACCGCATCAGACCAACTTCAGCTTTCTCTTAGGAAAAGAAGATACCTCCGCCATACTGTACGTTTGCCAGCATGCGGATGGCGAAGAGGCCCTTTCACCAAGTGGGGGTTGGAGGAAGCTGAGTCCTATTCTGAAAAAAATAAGAATCGCATGGAGCTACAGGGACAGCTAGTAGATGGGTGGGAGGTCAACGTGGAGGAGAATTCATGCCCTTGCGCTTCTTGTTTCAACTATGGTACCTACCTACACGTGGTGGCAACATTGCTTGGGTCAGGGGGTGCGGTTTCCGGTTTACCAGTTTCTAAACAGGCGTTTGTCAACAGGCGGCGACGCTTGCGATGTGGACGCCAGCACAGGTTGGTCCAGCACTGCCGCTAGAGTAGATAGCGATAAAAACCTTCAAAACATTTGAACCCAACGGCTCATAATTATAACTTGCAGTCTGGTGAATTGTATCTTAGAACATCTATCTACGACGTAGGGTTAAAAAGGTAAATTTAGTACGTGCAAAAAATAGTATTCACATCTTGTCTTCAACTTCAACAGCGTTTGAAAATAGTCCAGAAATAAATTTGATATTCATAATTATAGTATCAATCCTATTTCTTTTTAGCTTCTCTTGCTGATGCTAACTTCTCTGCTTTTTCGCCGACCTGGAGGAAGAACTTGCGCTTATAACTTCAAATAAATGTTCCTCTCTGCGCTAATACTGTTTTTCTTCTTCGAACCGTTCTTCGCTCCATTCACGACCGTCCATGTGCGCGAAACGGGAAATACTCGCATCCAGGCTGAAATGAGAGTCACTACAGCATCAGCTAAAGCGAATAGTATGTTGGTAATTTGTGGTAAATTATGAATAAGTCAACATTTACACTTGGGATTTATAAAGTCAATTATCGGATAAATCTCGGTTTTTCCCAAAGTGATCGGGAAAATATTGGGAATCTACTTGAAACGGTCTCTGATTGGCAGCGAATATTCAAACACCATTTCTCCGGGTCCAATGGCCTCATGGTGAAAGGAGTTACAACGACCACATCATCGCTTTAATGTCTTCACTACACTCTACAGTGTAGGGCCTAAATGACAGGATGGCCCGCAAATACATCATAACGTTGCCTGGGCATTGAACCATTCGCCTGCATCGAGTTCCCTTGATTACAAGGAATTCGTTGATGACGATGGCGACATACAGCTCGCGTTCGGCGACATTGGCTTTGGCATGTACACATTCCCTCTGCGCTTGTCCATCTGCTGCTTCACAATGGCCTGCCTGTGTACTGGTGGCACGTCAACAAGTCGCCGGCACCACATACAAAAGGCAAAACGTACCGCAGTCGACATCGCCTTACACATTCAGCGTCCCACATAATCAACATGCCCTGCAGATTGGAAGCGAGTGTCTTTGGTGCCAATGGATCCCTGCATGGAGCTACAAATCTTCCGATTCCTCCGTAGTAACTGGACCAGCTCCTCATTTACCAATTCGCACTTGGACGCCATCACGACAAGTACCATGGAGGCTGAGTCAGCACGGTCCAAACCGCATAGTGATGATGCCACTGACAACCAAAGTACCGGTGATGTCGTCCCGGAAAAGCTATTGGCGCCCAAAGTGTCAACGTACCGCTTGCCTCGCTTCAGTTCTCGCCGTTTGAGCTCCAACAGCTCGTTCGGTGACCACGACGTGCTACCTCGCACCAAGAGTATGTTCCCGGAGCCACGTGAGTTGACAAAAGATGATCTCACGAGTGCTGACGCGTTGATGGCCGACGATGTTTTCACCATGAACGCGACTCTGTCGTCGGTGATCGAGAACGCCTTAGGCCAGCCCATTCCCGGTCTTGAGGTACGCTTCCGTAACCTCGAACTGTCCGCGGAGGTACCTTTGATCAAGAGCGGGAGTCTGGAAGTCCCTACGCTATGGACGCAAGTACAACAGGGAGTGGGTAGCATCTTCGGTTCCAAGCAGTTCACAGTCGAGAAGAAGATTCTACGCGGTGTGACTGGTGCCTTCAAGCCTGGCCGCATCACGCTCGTACTGGGCCAGCCTGGATCAGGCAAGTCTTCGCTTATGAAGGTGCTAGCCAACCGGTTCCACATGGACAAGAACATCACCTTAAAGGGTGAAATTGAATACAACGGCAAGGAACGCTCATTGATGCTGGATATGCTGCCTCGCGACGTGGCCTACGTCAACCAGATCGATGAACACTACCCGCGAATGACCGTGCAGGAAACGTTCGAGTTCGCTCATCGATGCTGCTCTGGTAAAGACCTGGAGCCGTGGGCTGTGGAGGCGCTGAAGAACTGCACGCCGGAGCACCATGAACACGCTCTGAAGGTCGTGACGGCACACCACAAGTTTGCACCGGATCTGATGGTCAAGAAACTGGGTCTGGACAACTGTAAGGACACTGTGGTGGGCAACGCTATGCTGCGTGGTGTTTCTGGTGGCGAGCGTAAGCGTGTCACCACAGGTGAGATGTTGGTCGGTAGGAAGCGACTGCAGCTTCTCGATGAGATCAGTACGGGTCTCGATAGTGCGGCCACGTACGACATCTGTAAGTCCCTAAAGAGTGCTGCGCGTAACTTTAACGCTACCGTCGTGATCTCGCTGCTGCAACCGTCCCCCGAAGTGTTCGAACTCTTCGACGATGTCCTTCTAATGAATGAAGGCAGCATCATGTTCCACGGGAAGCGTGAGGAGGCTGTGCCCTACTTTGAGGACATGGGCTTCCACTGTCCACCTCGCAAGGATGTGGCCGATTTCCTGCTGGATCTAGGAACCAACAAGCAGGGCGTGTACGTTGTTGGAGACAATGTGCCATATCTGTCTGCTGAGTTCGCTGATCGCTTCCGTGAGTCAAACATTTACCAGAAGACTCTGAAGCGGCTTGATTCACCTGTCAAGGAGCCGCTTATCATTCCCGACGTCAAGCCGTTCCGTCTTTCATTCTTCGAGGACTTGGCTCTCATACTGCGTCGTCAGTTGATGCTTACATCGCGTGACACGACGTACCTCATGGGTCGTGCAGTGATGAATACTGTCATGGGTCTACTATACGGATCCACGTTCTGGCAGATGGACGACGCGAACAGCCAACTGATCCTCGGTCTGTTGTTCTCCTGTGCGATGTTCCTTTCGTTGAGTCAGGCTTCTCAAGTACCGACGTTCATTGAGGCCCGCTCGGTCTTCTACAAGCAACGCGGCGCTAACTTCTTCCGATCCAGCGCGTATGTTCTGGCCATGTCGTTATCACAGATCCCGATGGCTGTGGTGGAGACGGTGGTGTTTGGAGCGATCACGTACTGGATGGGAGGCTACGTCGCTCTAGCGGACCGCTTCATCGTGTTCCTGGTCACGCTGTTCCTGTGTCAGATGTGGTTCACCAGCTATTTCTTCTTCCTGTCGTCGGTCTCGCCCAATTTGACAGTCGCGCAGCCTGTGATGATGGTGTCGGTGCTGTTCTTCATGCTGTTCGGAGGTTTCCTGATCACCAAGGACAATATCCCGGACTACCTCATCTGGATCTTCTGGATTGACCCTCTCGCCTGGTGCATCCGTGCGCTGAGTATCAATCAGTATCTGGCTCCGAAGTTCGACGTGTGTGTGTATGAAGGCATCGACTACTGCGCTACATACAGCGAGACGATCGGAGAGTACAGTCTGGGCGTATTCAGTCTGCCGACCGGGTCAATGTGGATCTGGTACGGATGGATCTTCCTCTTCGCTGGGTACTTCATGTTCGTCTTCGTGTCGTATCTCGTGCTGGAATACAAACGCTACGAAAGTCCTGAGAACATTGCGGTAGTTGAAGAAGTTGCTGAGGACCAGAATGTCTACTCGAAGATGCCCAAGACTCCGAGGGAGTCCAAAACCGATGACAAGGTGATTGAAATTCAAGATGCCGACGACGTCATGGGTGGCGTCACTACTATTAGCGTTCCAGTCGAGCCCACTGGTCGTGGTGTTTCGCTACCTATCACGTTGGCGTTTGAAGATCTATGGTACTCGGTCCCGATGCCTGGTGGCAAGAAGGACGAGGAGATTGACCTACTTAAGGGCGTCTCTGGTTTCGCTCTACCTGGTACGATGACGGCGCTCATGGGATCCTCTGGTGCTGGTAAGACGACGCTGATGGATGTCATTGCTGGTCGCAAAACTGGTGGCAGAATTCAAGGGAAGATTCTGCTCAATGGCCACCCGGCCAATGACCTCGCCATCCGTAGATGCACGGGATACTGCGAGCAGATGGACATTCACTCCGACTCGGCTACAGTTCGTGAGGCGCTGATCTTCTCGGCCATGTTGCGTCAGGATGCCAGTATCTCGACTGCACAGAAGATGGAGTCTGTGGAAGAGTGTATTGAACTGCTGGAGCTTGGACCCATCGCTGACAAGATCATCCGCGGGTCGTCCACGGAGCAGATGAAGCGCGTGACCATCGGCGTGGAGCTGGCAGCTCAGCCCAGTATCATCTTTATGGACGAACCGACGAGTGGGTTGGACGCTCGCTCGGCCAAGTTGATCATGAACGGTGTTCGCAAGATCGCCGACTCGGGCCGTACCATTGTGTGTACGATCCACCAGCCTAGTACGGAGGTGTTCAACCTGTTCGACTCGCTCCTTTTGCTTCGTCGTGGTGGCCGCATGGTGTTCTTCGGTGAATTGGGCAAGGAGTCCAAGAATTTGATCAACTACTTCGAGTCGTTCCCTGACGTGAAGCCTATCACACCGGGGTACAACCCTGCGACGTGGATGCTGGAGTGCATCGGTGCCGGTGTAGGCTCCGGTCATGCCGATGCTGGTGCTGATGGTGCGCAACCATTGGACTTCGCTGAACGCTTCTTGGTGAGTGATCAGAAGGTGTTGATGGAGGAGGATTTGGACCAGGAAGGCGTGCTGCACCCGTCGTCACACCTTCCAGAACTTACGTTTGAGACGAAACGCGCTTCGGACCCGCGCGTGCAGTTCCAGCTTCTGTGCCTTCGCTTCTTCCGCATGTACTGGCGTACACCGACCTACAATCTCACACGTTTGTTCATCAGTGTCCTATTGGGCTGCGTGTTCGGCGTCATCTATCAGGGAACCGACTACTCCACGTACACTGGCGCGAACTCGGGCATCGGTCTGATCTTCGTCAGTACTATTTTCCTCGGCCTCATCAGCTTCAACAGCGTCATGCCTGTCGCTGCAGATGAACGCACGGCCTTCTATCGCGAACGCGCGTCGGAAACCTACAATGCGTTGTGGTACTTTGTCGCCGGTACGTTGGTGGAGATCCCGTACATTTTCTTGTCGAGCCTGTTGTTCTGCATCATCTTCTACCCGAGCGTCGGCTTCACTGGTTACATCACGTTCTTCTACTACTGGCTCGTCGTGGCGATGAACGCGTTGCTGTTCGTATATTTCGGACAGCTAATGGTGTTTGCGCTTCCCAGTGTCGCTGTGGCGTCCACCCTTGGAGCTCTCTTTAGCGGTATTTTCATGCTGTTTGCAGGTTTTAACCCGCCCACGGGCAGTATCCCAACGGGTTACATGTGGGTGCACTGGATCTCCCCGCCAACGTACACCATCTCGATGCTGGTGTCGCTGGTATTTGCCGACTGCTCTGACGGCAGCACGGACGGCATCAGTTGCCAAACGCTGCAGAATGCGCCGCCCACGATTGGTGAGATGACGCTCAAAGAGTACGTCGAGGAGACGTTCGACATGAAGCACAGTGATATCTGGAGGAACGTGGCGATCATGATCGTTCTGATCGTGGTCTTCCGTATTTTGGCGTTGGTCTCGCTACGCTACATCAACCACCTCAAGCGCTAGGAAGATAGCGAAGGAGTTGTCTGCCTTTGTCGATAATGTACCTGGCCTAGGGTCATTTACCTTTATTACAATTGCATAGTCCCCGAACGACGGCCTAGCAGGATAGTTTAGAGGCTGAAATCGTCCTTACCTTGTTGCTTTGTCCAACAATACGCTCTCAAAAACTATTTGCGTTAGCGCCTCAATGGTTTAGCCCCTATCAGTACAAGTATAACTTATCCAAAAAATACACTCTCATTTAAAAATGAGAGCATATTTCGGTGCTCCAGAATCTACGATAAGGCCGCCACAATTTTGTTTGCTAGGGGAAACCAACCACGACAACGCTGTCTGGGTTCGTAGCACTACGACGGACGAGATGCAGTGGCACACACTCACATCCGCTCGTTTAACGATGACTTCCCATTGCAGTGCAACAGCACCAACACGTTGGAGAAATTTCGACTCTTCAAATACATTAATCACGCATTACTACACTATGCCATTCATCCTGGCATAAAAAAACAATGAACGCACTACATGGACTGCATGCGATCTGCAGTCTTGCTACCACGAAAACTCAAACGTGTGGCATTGCCTCAAGCTCGGGAGGCCGTTTAACTGCTCACGAACCCCTCGACTTGGCGCCGTTGTACCGCCCCACAGCATTAGAGCTTGGTTGTCGGCCAAGAAGCAGCTGTCCAGCACCTCGGCCTCTTGAAGAGCTCGTTCTTCTTGCAGTAGCTGGAGGTATCGCTGTCTGACGCAGACCGTCGACGGCTTTTCCTCCGTCTTCAGCTCATCAATTCCGCCCCACGTGACAACAGACGTGCGTTTGGTTAGCATACTGCGGATCTGCGTCTCCAGCCGAATCCACTCGGCTTCGTCTTTGAGGCGTTTGTCCTTCACACGACTGCGGTAGCCCTTCTCGTAGCCACGTTGTTTGTCTTTGCGGCGCTGATTTCTTCCTGAAGGGTCCACGTCGACCTTGTGACGGGGTCGGCGGCCTGGTTTAGCAGTGGGTTTAGCAGCGGATTTGTTCTTGACGGGGCTGATGCTTGTTGCGGTGGGGGATTTAGTCTTGACGGGAGACACAGCGACAATCTTGATGTTCTTAACATCGAGCATCATGTCAGTACCGGCGTCTGGCTTGGTTTCCAGCAATGTGCCGAACTCGTCATCGGGTGTCAAGCAGGTGAGGAAGCAGCTCGTCTTGGGGGATACAGGGGTGCAAGTGTCGATGCCATCCAGGCTGATCGGATGACTGGGGATCGAGACTGAGAGATCGGACATCTCGTCGTCCATGTCGATGCTGATAGATTCGATCCACACGGGGATCGGCGCTTCCCACTCCATCATGGACATGGTGGTGATTGCAGAGGAGTACTTGAAGAGTAGAAGGGTTGACGCCGCTATGGCAAATTGAAGAGTGAGGACGAGGTCGGACCGAGCATTTCGTTCGCAGCAGAGTGGTCTTGACTCTTTTGGAAGACGGAGCGGGCAGATGCAAGTCAGACACGCTGTAGTCCCTCTCTTCACAGATGAAAGCCGGCACCTCGAAAGAGATCGATGCACCGTGGCCATCCACAGTGCAGCGTGGCGCTGCTCGAGACACACCGTATAGAGAAACGACAATGGGGAGTCTGATATCTACGACGCTGAGCCAACCAAGAGGGGAGGTCTGTGAAGCCCCTCTTCTTCGGTGACGGCTTGGATACGGACGTGACGCCACCAAGATCGAAAAATCTAGAGTAGAGATCACGACGAACCTCACCGAATTTCTGCGGGTGGCAACCACGAGCTCCGTTCGAGTGTTCTTTATGCATGGGGCCTCGCTCGTAGTTCCATGAAGGGGTCTTCGTGGTGAGGAGCAACTACAACTTTCCTTCGCCTTCAATGTGGTTGTTAAATCGCTTTTAGATTGCCTACCACTGTCCTAACGGAGTTGTACGGGTTAGCACTCATATAACGCAGTACCTAGGGGACACAATGTCGACGCGTGCAACGCTAGCTACGCTGGATGGAGTAGAAGCAGAAAATACATGATGGACCTTGAAGCTTGCTTGTCGCGCCGATGTATGTACTACCCATTGGTTGTTTCCAATTCTGTTGGGTCATCATGGCTAGAAGTGGAGTTGATTGCATTCTAACTGATGAAATGTAAATTTCGAAGTCGACTACTCGCAAAGTTGATCTGCTTGCTGCAAACTCAAATTGCTCGACACGCACACGAGATCACCAAACAACAGGGTGAATGCAAGCACTCGGGTGCGAGAACTCGAGTCGACAGCTTTCGGATGGTAACCTGAGCTGACAGTGAAGTCAACTTTTTCTCCCCATTTGATTTATGAAGAATTCCGTTTTGCAGAACAAGTGAGCTTTCCTGTTATCGGGTTGCCTACAATACTTTTAAACAGAGGGAGCAAAGATGACAAAATCCAGCAAAGCTGGTACTAAACATCAACTAGAGCAACGTGTCTGTCCGCCCGTCATTCCGTCCGCGGCTAGGGTTAGGGGACGCATTCTACTGGCTACCGAGCGCAGCGAAGGCGGCCCCAATTGGCTAAAATTGTATTATGTGGTCTACATCACAAAACTGATGTGGTACACAGTGTTCATCTGGATCTGTTGCACGATCTGACTGTCTCTGGCGTACTTGATTGGACGAAAGTCAACTATTTTTGTAGGACAAGGAAACAAGCCGATTGGAAGAAAACCACAGGCCTCTCCTGTCTGACTATCCGAAATTTACATATAACTACTGTTGAGAACTGCCCAATAGGGCTCAAAATTACTTACTTGGAATATGACCGAATATTGCACAGTTTCTCAAATACGTAGCAAATTCGTATTTTAGATTGGTATATAGTTATATTCAAGGTAGTTTTTGGCTTTGATCTGCACTTAACGAATATGGTGGTCTATCGAAACGAATGTTCCAATAATTACGCTGACTCGTACTAACTTCACAAATACTACTCCGTATCTTGTTTTTATAGGTGACAATATCACAACTGTGTATCGTCGTCGCTACAGTCTTCTTCGGCTCCCATAAAAATGGAGCATG